GCACATATGCATAGAACCATCCTTTTTCTTCCGAAACAAGACAGGAGCACCCCAAGGTGACACGCGTGGCCGAATAAAGACCTTATCAAGCAATTCCTGTAACTGTTCCTTCAACTCCTTCAACTTAGGAGGAGCCATACGATAAGGAGGAATAGAAATAGGCTGAGTGCCCAGCAAAAAATCAATGCCAAAATCAATATCTCTGTCGGGCAGCATGCCCGGAAGAACAACTAGAAACACATCAAAGAAATCCCACACTACTGGGACTAAATCAACTGTAGGGGTATCAATACTGACATCTCTCACATAAGCTAGATACACGTCACACCCCTTCTCAACCATTCGCTAAGCTTTAAGAAATGAAATATTTCTACTATGAGTGTAATTTTAGGTAAACCTCAACTCTAACCGCAGTAAACCTCGTATGGCCAGCGTGACAGACTTGGCGTGACAATCAAGAATAGCATAATGGGGTGACAACGAGTCCATGCCCAAGATAACATCAAAATCTACCATGCTGAGCAATAATAAATTGGCTCTGGTCTTAACAACACTAAGAGCATTCAAACACGACCGATAAACGTAGTCCACAACAAGAGAATCCCCCGCAGGGGTAGAAACATAAACAGGGGAACTCAAAGAACCCCAAGATACGCCCAAATGCGGGGCAAAATTATAGGACACATAGGAATAAGTGGAGCCTAGATCGAATATAACCGATGCATCTTTATGACAGACCGGAATAATACCTGTGCTGACAGAATCAGAGGCAACAACCTTAGTACGGGCAGGACAGTATCTGGCCTGGCCTCCCCCTCTAGGGCGACCTCTACCTCCAAAACCACTATCTCTAGCTGGCTGAGCATGTGGGGTAGCAACTGGTGCTGTAATCATAGCCTGGGACCCTATGGAGCACGCTGTGGCTGAGAAATCTATGGAGGTGCGCCCCTCCTTAGTCAGAGGCAATCCCTCAACATATGGCGTGTGTCGCCACACTCAAAACGATCTCTAGGAGGATGTGGCGGCTGGGGCTGGATCGGGCCAGGTCTGCTGGACTGACCATTGAAAGCACCCCGTACAGGAGGCGCACTAGATACTGGAGGTGCATAATGAGGCTCCTGATGTCTAGGAGGAGCTGGAATACCACTGGCTGCTGCAAGAGCTAAATAAACGGGGTCACTCACATAACCCCTACCATGATGAACTGCAACTAGGGCACGAGCACCTGAATAATGGCCCGACTCTCGAGATCTCTTGGCCTTTCTCTCCTCCCTATCCTGAGCAAGCATGCCTTCTACTCTCCTAGGAATACTCACCACCTGCTAATAGGCGATATACATCACTTACTCCCAGGCCATGCTAGACTTGATGCTAGGAACGAGCCCCTCAATAAACCGGCGAACTCTCTCACGAACCGTAGAAACCAAGGCTGGTGCATGTCTAGCCAAGTCACTGAAACGGACATCATACTCTGAAACAGTCATAGTACCCTGGAGCAAATTCTTAAACTCTGCGCGGCATGCGTCCCTGAGGCTCTAAGGGACGTACTCCCTCAAGAAAATATCCGAAAACTGGGTCAATGAAAGGGAAGCTGCCTCAGATGGACTGTCTAACTCAAACATATGGCACCACTGATAGGCTGCCCCTCGAAGCTCGAAGGAATTGAAGGAAACCCTACTCGACTAAGCAATAACCAGATACGGTGGCAATCCTCCAAAAATCCCTGAGCATGCTTTGATTCTAGACCACTGAATGTAGGAGGGTCGTACTTCTTGTGCCTCTCGAGCCTCCCCTTCTCCTCCTCTAAAACTGTTACCCTACCCTCGGGCTGGGCTGGGGCTACAGGAGGCACGGTATAACCTTCGGGATCTGATCAACCTGAACTCACTGCTTTGGAGTGCAGGCAGCGGGAGTCTGTGCTACTCCCCCGGCCTGAGATGTGGCTGCACCAAGGGGAATCAACCCTGCCTGAGCTAAGGTGTTGTACATTCTCACAAACTGTGCAAGGGTCTCCTCGAGATCTGGAGTAGCAGTGGTAGGTGTATCAGGCGCTTGGGCTCCGGCTGGAGCTGTTGGTGGCTCATCTGTAGGTACTCACGCTGGTCCTCTGGCTACACCATGTGCGCGTCCTTGGCCTCTACCCCAGCCCTAGCCTTTGACGGCTCTAGTAGGGGGCACGGGTGCCTACTCATATCCGGTAGCACGTGTCCTCACCATTTGTGAGAGAATAAAAGATAGAAGTTTAGAATTTCGAAATCAGTAATCTCGTACGACAAGGAATCAAATGAAATGGAATTTTCCTAACAGTTCAAAAGCCTCTCGAAGATAATTATAGACGTCTCTGTACCGATCCACCAGACTGTAATAAACCGAATTATGATTAACGACTCATATGAACCTAGAGCTCCGATACCAACTTGTCACGACCCAAGTTCTTCCTCCGTGAACTGTCATGACGACACCTAGTGTCTACGACTAGGTAAGCCTAACAATTTACGGAAATAAAATAAAGATACGAAACTAACAATTAACAAGTAAATATAATAAAGGAGTTTAAAATGCCGCTCAGCATATACAATAATAACACTCTCGAACTGAACATAACGCTCAAAAAACCCAAAATCTCATGAATCACAAGCTAAAGAAGTACATAGTATTTTTAACACAAAATCTAGTAAGGAAGAAAATACAGAAAGTCTATAACTAAAGGGAGAATAAAGTGTGACTTCTAGGTCTGCGGAAGCGGCAAATATACCTCGAAGCATCTGGATCGCCTCGCCTCACTGGAGGTATGTTTGAGAAGAAGAACCTGGATCTACACATGAAAAATATGTGCAGGAAAGGGCATGACTATACCACAGCGGTACCCAGTAAGTGCCAAGCCTAACCTCGTTTGAGTAGCGATGAGATCAGGTTAGGGCCTTACTGGTTATACATATAATAAGATAAAATAGTATAAAATATCTCAGTAGAGTTAAAGATGCTAATATTCAACAAAGAATGTAATCACGTGAAGAAATAACCTAGTACACAGTGATAGCAACACGCTCCTGGGATACAGTCCCGTAGTCCCAAATATAAATGTACAGAGGATCTCCGGGATACCGTCCCGTAGTACAAATCGTAAATGTGCAAGGGAATCTCCCGGAATACCATTCCTTAGTCCCAATGTAAATATCCAGTACATGGGGATTTCCCCGGATACCGTCCCGTAGTCCCAAACATAAACACACAGGGGGATCTCGCGGAATATCGTTCTGTAATCCCAAAATAAATACACAACTCATTCAATATACACAACAGTTTCAACTAGGAAATATCTAATCAAATCAATTACATAACGTAAATATAGCTACAAGTAATTCCTTTAACTAATGAATTCAAAACTAAGACATGTAAGTAGAAAAACGGCAGAAAATCCTCCCCAGGCCCACGTCTTAGAATCGGGGAAAAATCACAAATTACAAACACCCATTCTCTCACGGGTTCACTCATACAAAAATCATCCCAAACCAACGTCAAATTCCTATTCAAAACTCAGCTTTTCAATTAGGAAACTTTTTCCCCCATTTTCAAACTTCTACCCTCAAATTCCTTAACTAAATTAGGAAAACAACAATAGATTTATGTATATGATCTAAAATAGAGTACAATTCGTTACCCAATAGCTCTCCTTCAAAATCCCTCAATAAATCGCCTCCCCCGAGCTCTAAATCCAATTTTGCGTTATGAAATTTCAATCCCTCGAAACCATCTCTTCTGCCCAGCGATTTCCGCATCTGCGGTCATGGGGCCGCTTCTACGGTCATTAGGCCACATCTCGGTTCCGCATCTGTGGTCCCCTAGCCGCACCTGCCGTTCCAGATGACCAAGTCCAATTCCGCTTCTGCGGCCACTCAGCCACTTCTGCAGCACCGCACCTGCGGTCCAACATCCACCGGTGCGATTATATCTGGTTCAACAATTTCAAAAATTGCCTAAGTCAAAATTTTCATTCGTCAAGCATCTGAAACTCACCCGAGGCCCCAGGGACCTCAACAAAATATACCAACCAATGCTAGATCATCATACGAACTTAATCGAGTCCTCAAATCAGATGAAACAGCACTAAAACTACGAATCACCCTCCAATCCAAAACCTAATGAACTTGAATTTCCAAAATTCTACATCCGATGCCGAAATGAACCAAACAACGTGCGATTGACCCTAAATTTTGCACACAAATCATATTCAACACTACGGACGTACTCCAACTTTCGGAATCGAATTCTGACCCCGATATCAAAAATGACACTACTGGCCCGAAACTCAAAAAATTTAACTTTAGCCATTTCAATCCTAAATAAACTACGGACCTCGAAAACACAATACGGACGAGCCTCAAAGCCCGAAATCACTCAACAGAGCTAACGAAATTGACGGAATTCCATTCTAGAGCCGTCTTTGCACTGCTCTAACAACGGCCATAATTCTAAGACTTAAACTCTCATTTAGGGACTAAGTGTCCCAAAACACTCTGAAAATCAAAATGAACCATCCCGAAAAATCACAATAGCGAAAATAGACACGTGGGAAGCTGTTAATAGGGGGTCGGGGTGTTTATTCTCAAAACGACCGGCCGGTCGTTTCAAAAATAAGCCTGTTGCAACAGTTATTTTCGTAACGGTTAAGAAACCGTTGACATAGAGAGGTTACTGTAACAAGTTAAGACCGTTGCAATAGAATTCTGATGATATGAGCACACTTTAGCTACTAAACTATTCCTAATGTATCAAAACCGTTGCCACAGGGATTTTATCGTAACGGTTTTTTGAACCGTCCCAATAGACTTGTTTATGTTAAAGGTTTTAGATTAATAAATCTTATATCAAAACGGTTCTTTATTCCCTCCTCTGTTTTCCCCTGAATTTTTCTAAACCCGCCAAAATAACCCCTATTTCATTTATTTTTGATAATTTTATTAAATAAAAAATAAGAAAAAGTGTTCCACTTTCGAGAACTCAAAATTAAAGCTCCCAATAAACCCATCGTCCCACCAAATCAATGGCAGCGAGACACTAGTGGAAAACCCCCAAATCCTTTTCCCTTTCTCGTTCAAAATTCCAACCAGTGGTTAACCATAATCCCCATGTCCCCAAATCAAATTGCGGGCTGACCCAAAAGTCCTAAATCCCCAAAGTCCCAATCCTTTTGTTTTGCTCAAAGGAGAGATGGCGCCAAAAAAGAATAGACGAAAAATCTAAAAGGCAGCGATTACAGGTACGTAAACTACTTTAATCGCGAGAAAATTTCGACCCAAAAGCAGTCTTTGAGAAATTAACTTCAGTCTCATTTTACTTGATTTATTTTCAATTTGTTACTGTATCATTTGTAACTTATTGCTACTACAATTGGGTATATGCTCCTACTTTTCTTTGAATTATTGATTGGTATAGAATTGATTTGAGTTGTGGATTTTAATTTGTTCTCTCTGAATATGAGTGTAGTATTTTCTAAAACTTATGAAATATGTCTTTCTTCTCTAGTTTTGGTATTTTCTTCTTTATTCGTTATATTTTTGGCCATGCATATGCGCAGCATCTCTCAGCCATGGAAAAGATTTACCTTTATCAAATTAAATTTATTGGTTGACATCTTTTTATTAATTCCACCTAGCTTGCTTTCCTCTGCTATAAAAGGTATGTACCTCTTGTTTAGATAAGAAAAAAAAAAGAGTTGCACAACATAAAATTCTCTTAACTCTTTCAACCAAAAATCGAATTTTGAAATTCTGATGTGTGATAAACTTGTGAAATAAATTCTGTATTTTGTATATTACCCAATTCTAATCAAAATCAGTCAATGCTTGAATTGATGGAGAATTGAGGTACTGATAATGCTTTCTCTTAACTAGTTTGACTATGAAATAAGTGTTATAACACTGGTTATGTAAATTCTTGTCGTGCTGTAATAATTGTCGTGTCGTGCTATAATACTTTTTTTGGCCATTCTTTTATTAAACTTTCACATAAACCAGAGGGTTGTACTTAGTACTTGTTATGTTTGCAAAGAAAATGAGAAACGTGCTTTGAATTGTAGTCTTCATTCAGTTCCTCCTCTGCTCGATCATGGGAGAATTATTCTTGCTTGATCTTTCTTTGAATAACATTTGTTCTTCGATTCCAGGTGGGTTTTCAGTTTAATAATCTTGTTTCTCTTGATTTGCTCCAATCCACGAGGTTTGATGTTTTTCACTTATTATTCTTTTAAATATAAACTTGCGAACATCAATCGGAATAATTTTTTATGCCATTTTTAATGTAACCAGGAAAAACAGAAGGAGACTTCTAATGCTCTATCAAGTAAGAACATATTTGTGGCTACTTGATCGAGTATACAAAGCCTCGTATGCGGTATAGCGTGATTTTTAACTTTGCCATGTTGCTATTGTTGTTATAGTGTTATTTGGTTTTACTTCCATCTCTTTTGTCGCTGCGTAATTATGTGGTTTCCTTGCTAATTTCATTGCTGTGAAGCATATCTTTGTCCATTGCGAGGGTTGTTTTGCATATAGTAAGTTTTGGAAATTGATATCTTTTTTCTCTTATTTAGCATAAACATATTTTCTATTTTTTATCTCCTAGAATTACTGTCAAAGTGAAGCGCTTGTTTCTTTTCTTTTCTTTCTGATGAGGTTGATGTGCTTTTTATTTTAAACAAATATCTTTTAGATAATTGTCTGCATGATAAGTTGTTGAAGGCATCAGATTTTGCCCCTTGGTATTTAGGAAAAAACAAGAAGTGATAGAACATGGGTTAATCTATTATGGTATTTATAAGGCCGAATGTACAAAGAGCCACTTAAACATACCCCAATTTGATTTTGAATGTGCTTAATCTAGGTGATTTTTGGACCTCTACGTTTAAGTTAACAAACTTGAGTTGAGTTCCACTAATATCAAATTTACTATACTGTACAATCTGGGAATTACTAAGAAATTGATTTCCCAATAACCAGGAAACAAAGGAAAATTGTTTGGTTGCAGGAGCTTGACTGTTAGCTGAATGTGATTTTTTTTTTTTTTTTTTTTTTTTGTGGAAGATATGGAGCATTGTTTGCTTAAACTTGGTCAAGTCTTGAAATGTGGACGTTCTAAAACTACAAAAACCTTCCAAGTTGTCCTTTGCCTCATCTGGTTAAGGACTATCAAAGAACCTATTTAAGTTTGATATTTACATATTATTGATTTAATTTCAACCTTGTAGTAATGCCACGTCTTTCTTTTGAAAGGTTAGGATGAGAAAATTTATTTGGAAACATAGATTAACGAAGGAAAAGAGGATTTGTGTATAAACACTTAGAAAATAAATGGCCTATACACTCGCAACTGATGTGTAAACACTTTAGAAAATATATGTACATAGGTTTTTTGCTTTTTCTTTACTGGGAATATTCATATATATATATGTATTGTACTTCTTCGTTACTGGGAATATTCATCTTTTTGCTACTATTATAACTTATAATATTCCCAGGTTACCAAGTTCCTATTGTTGTTAGTTGTGTGTTTATTCCTTGGTATCATACTGTTGGTTTTATATTCCTACGCTACCAGGTTCCTATAGTTGTTAGTTCTCTATATGTTCCTATTAGCATCATACTGTTAGTTCTTCCAACTTGAAAAATGATTGAGATTTTTGACTTGTACAAAGTTGGTGTTCCTGACCCTGCCTCATTGATTCGTGATTGCCTCTCATTGCAAATGAGAAATGTGTTGAATGTAATGACTTTATTACCCTCTTTTGTAGGTGGAGAAAATGTTGAAAGGAAAGGTGAAAGAGATGAAGATCTAGACCTTACTTGAGAAGACTTATAAATTGTTGATGAAACTTTAGATATTCTAGCTAGGTGCGAACCTTTAGGAACTTAATTGTAAAATTTATATGAACTCTAGTTAGAACATTTTATTTTGTGGCTACTACTAGCTTGTTGGATAATTAATCTGGATTGTGAATGTTTATGAATAGTTTTGTTCTGAGAATTATATAATTTTTAGTGTATTAAAATTTATCTTATATGCAATATTTGTAACGTGGTGTTTCAATTCACCTATTACAGTAGCCATACAGAATCGTTGCATTAGGATAAAAGTTATGTTAAAAAATATAAACTGTAGAAGTAGGTCATGGGAACCCTTACAGTAGCGTAAAGAAACTGTGGTAATCTCTTAAAATAACTGTTGTAATATCATACATATTCGTTGCATTAAATCAAACAGTAACGGTTAAATATTCGTTGCATAAAAAGAGGGGAATAATCGTTGCCATAGAAAGTGCAATAGCAACGGTATTGGAAACTGTTGCTTCAGAGCTATTGGCACGCAAGCAAATGGAACGGTTGCGTAATCGTTGCAATAGCCCTATTTTAATGGTTTAGGTATCTTATATAATTGACTATAATTGTAAAACTACAAAATTGATTTTCTTGCAATTAATTTGTTCAAATATTTATTAATTATCCATTTAAACTATTATAGGGTGATTAATCATTCAAATTTATCATTTTATAAACTTATGCATTTTACAATATTTTATCTCATTTTACATAATTATATTTGCATTTTTCTCTATTTCTTCTACACTAGTTATAATAATAGCCTATAGTCTATGAATAAATGCGTATATTATACTATTTATGCCAAAATAGCATTTTATATTTTTAATATGTTAAGTTGTTATTTTCAAACATTTTACTGCATAACTAATATTTTTTATTAGTTATTGGTCATTTTTTTATAATTTATTTTTATGAATTTCGTGTACTTAAATTGTAGCCAAATTTTGAGCTAATTTTGGATCAAAATCAAGCGCACACACACCTAGCCTTCCATTTTACCCTTCCGCAGCCCAAACCAAACGACCCCCCTTAACTTAACCCGGTCCTCTTTCAATCTTGGTCGTTGATCTCTGATGATCAACGACCCAAAATAGGCCAGCCCCTTTACTTATAAACCCTTTCCCAAACCCTAAAGACCCATTTCCCCAGCCGCCTCTGTATTATCTCTATCCCTCTACTCTCACACAAAACCCTAGTCGACCATGGAGATTCTCTCAGGTTCCTTCCTTATATGCGTTCATACGCGGATTCTACTTACCTTATATGCTATTATCACTTAGTTATGGTAACTTTCATTTACCAGGCAAGTTTGATTCTCACATATCTGTCTTCGACGCTACGATCTGGGTGCGACTGTGGCTCTATACACTTAGAAAGAGAAATTTTCTTGGTTATGGAGTATCTCCGGTAATTTTGTCGTGATTGGGGCTTGTGAATGTTTGCCTTAAATCCGATTCCGGCTAGGGTTTGAAATTCTTATTTCCTCTACTATTTCGAGTGTGCATGTGATATATTCTTTCCTTTTTTGTGTTAATCGACTAATTTTCCTTGTTTGTGTGGTTAATTTTGCTACTATGAAACCCTCTTTCCTCTTTTCCCCTGACAGACCTTGATCGCTACTATTCTAAGATTGAGACCTTGGTCGGCTGAAAACCAAGGCCCCCTTTCCCCGTTCCGCATTGCGAGCACTGCCTGGGGTTCACTTGAAACCCTTGGGAACTTAAAGCACTAGGATTTCAGGAATCTTGTTGTTCTTTCTTTACTACTGCTAGTTGAGCTGTTGTTGAAACCTAATTTTTTTCATCTACTTGTTCGTTAATTTGCAACTGTTGAGTACTGAGACTCAGCAATTCCATTCTTTTGCTTGTGTTCATGCTTTGTATGCTCATGTCACTTAGGACTTTATGAATCAATATTTGTTGTTTGCCTCTGTTCGCTTTCATTGTTTGCCTTAGACCTACTTTTGTACTTCTGTGCTTATCTAGTATTTATACCAGCCTGAATTCTAAACTTTGATGCGTGCATGTTTTGTATGTGCAACTTGAATGGTTCTGATAACCCTATGCCTTCTCTGCTATTCTAATCACTTCTTGTCACGAGTCCCTCACCTTGGATTCTTGTACTGAAACTCTCAAGGGATAATCCCCCGCCCAGAATTTGCTCGAATGAACTTTGCTTCCCCTAAATCTTTATGTGTTATGTATTGTTTTCTCTGCAAAATAAACTTGATCATTGAATCTCATGTTGCAATACTATCTTAAACATGCCTCTCTACTATTTGTGACCATTGTATCCCTGTACTTGTTAATCATGTACTCTTTAGCATTGCTTTAGACATCTAGGGTAAATATCAATGTTTAGCTTTCTCTCATGTATGGTCGAGTGACATGAGTCCTAATGTATGTCTGTCATGTTATCCTAGAGCTGACATGTTCTTTTACTTACTCTGAGTTCTTTAGAATCTTTGTTCAATGGTTAATGCTCATCATGTTAAAATTCATGTTTAACTAATTGATATGTTTGCAAAACTGTGCTACTAGTATGTTGTTATGCTATTTGAACCACATTCTCGCTAGGCTTTCATGTTAAAATCCTCATGTGAAGATTGTACTCCACTCGCTTCTTGTGTGTGATTCTGCTAGATTGTCATATGAAGTTCTTTAGGTTAGTTCTGTTTTGAAACACTATTTTTAGTGATTTGAAGCTTATGATGTCCAAGTTTTTCACTTTAAACCTTGTTTTGGAAATACATACATGAACATGCCTCATATACGCCTTGTGTGCCTTCTTATTTAATGTAGTCTCGTCTATGTGCCTTGGGCTTATAAGTGTTGATAGCTACAGCCTTAAGATTTAAGTATATGGATCTCGAAGGTTATTTAATTGACCCAGTACGTAGTTTGGTCACTTAAATGGTTGGTTTTGCATCCAATTGGGTAAGCATGGCCTTTATTTGGGCATGTTCTATAGGGCCATGTGTGTTGTTGGACCTCAATAGAGGATTTAGGTGCATTGTAATCCTCCTTGTTAGCCTGTGAGTTGGGCCTATTTGGTATGCAAATTTCAAGGCTGGTGAAGGCCCAAGAAGCATCACTAGGTTACCTGTTACTTTATACGATTCCACCAACTATAGAGTACTTGGTCCTCTATGAGTTTCTTCTGAGAATACTAATCAAATTGTAAGAAAATGAGACACGGGATTTTTACGTGGAAAAATTCCACTCAAGGGGACAAAAACAACGACCTACACTTGTAGGTTTTCAACTTCACCAACTTGTAACAACTCTATTACAAGCCACTTTGTAATGACTCTATTACAAAGACTTCAACTTAACTAACTTGTGATACACTTACCACAAGCCACTTTGTCACTCACTAGTTACAAAGACTTTAACTTATGACTAACTCTAGTCACAACACAAACTCAGAAAGTTTATGGTCTTACAAAGGGGTTCCTAAGCAACGGTTCTAGCTAAGAAATTTAGGAATTACAATAAGAATAATCACAAAGTTACAACTCAACTAAGGACAATAAAATACTAAATTTAGAAACTAGTCCGTAGTAGCGTGTAACTTTGTTCTTCAAACTCTTAAGAATTTAGTTCACTATTTGCAGAAGGGCTTGAATGCTTGATGTGAATTCTCAAGTGTTCAAGTGATGTTTTGTTATAGTTCTCTAGTTGATACACTCTTGATGACATCACTTGAATGATGTAAGCATTTGGTAGGTCAAAGGTAAGTGACTGCAAAATTCCTGCACTGTTTTTGTGGCAGTCACTTTCCAGCTGTGCACAGTTGACTTTCGTACTGCTACCAGGGAAACACAAGGGATTAGGTCCTTATCTTGTTTCTCTATTTTCTACACGTGCAACAGTTCACATTAGCTGGAGTTCTGGCTGGAATCCGTTCATTTGTAATGTGTACCAAGTGTGTCAGGTTCCCTATCTGGTTCTTGACAGTAAGTTTCTTAGATCATCAAAACATAAGGCAAAGACATTGAAAACCCATCAATTTTCCTCTTTTCAATGATGACAAACATAGATATTGATAACATGTATTTAGAGCGAAAAATAACCACATGAAGTAACAGGAACTTCAGAAATTCCCCTGACTTTATGCTTCCCCCTTAATCAGATCCCTGTTTCAATTATACTTCCCCCTTTTGGTCTCATTAAAAATACACAAGTAGGCAAACAACATAAAGAAGTCTAGTCTATCTAACTCATGCCACATATGTGCACACAACATGATAGAGAAGAGAAACAGAGAATACAAGCATTGAGATAACAAAAAAGGATAGATTTTATACATAAAACATATGCCTTTGCTTAAAAAGCAAAGGCAGAATTGGATTGTTGAAAACGGGAGCAATACTGATACATCCCAACCACATCAAAACAAAAGAAAACAAACACAACTACCAAGTCATTAAAACAACAAGAGACAATCCAGAAACTAGTCACTGAAAGGGTTACTTAGGGGGCACTAGGAGTAGAGGGCTTGGAAGCTGCAACTAGAGTTTGGAGAACTAGGTCTATTCGGGCATTGGCCGACTTTTGCTCATTGAGCAGTTTTGCTTTGAGGTTCTCCACTTGTGCCCTGAGATCAGCATTCTCTTTTGTTAGACGAGTCACTTCCTCATTTGACTCCGGAGCCCCTTGGGTCTGTTGACCTTCTAGGATAGCATTCCTAGCCTTCAACCTTCGAATCTCCTCAGTTGCATTATTTTGAGCATTAATAAGCTGTGAGATGGTTGATGTATTGCCTAACCCCCCATTCTTCTCTATGCACTCACATTCTTCCAACGTTGTTTCTAAAAAGGTCTGCTTCTATGTTCCTACCTTGCCTTGCCCCAGCGGCACCTTGAAAAACTTAAACACTTGCATAAGAAGAAACCCATATGGAAGACCCTGATTACCATCCTTAAAGGTTGCCACCTTTTGCATGTGTTCAATCATGATAGCAGGCAGGTTGACAGGGGTAAGGCCATCCAGTTGCTCCATTAAAAACAGGTCAGACTTAGAAGTCATGGACCACCTCTCAGCACGAGGCAATAGAACTTTGTTCACCAACTCGAAGAGCAACTGATAAACAGGGAGTAATGCCTTCTTGCGAATCTGGTCCCCCTTT